GGGGGGAGAGGTGGTAGGTGAGGGGTTGTTGGGGGGCGAGGGGTCTTTATTGGTTCGGTAGTGGGTTAGTGGTGGGTGATTGGTTTGGGGGTAATTGTGTGTGGGTTAGGGGAGTTATTGAGGCGCATTGTGTCTGTGTTATGATTAGCCAGCTTTTTCGAGTTAGTCTGTCGTTGTTGATTGTGCCTAGTATCCTGTTACCTAGCTTGGAGGATGAGAACTTTTTGATCATTTCGTTTTTTTGGTCGGGGTCCGTGGGGAGCTTGTTAAGTTGTTTTTGCCAGAGGGCATGGATTTCAGTGTCTATTAGTTGTTTGATGGTGATGAGTGGGTTCTCTGGGGCGGTGAGTCGATCATCCAAGGTGTTGTCACATCTGTTTTTCCAAATAGCCCATAGGGTGCTTTTTTTGATTTGTGAGGACAGGAAGGCTTCGAAGCCATTGAGCGGGGGTGATTGTTTGAGGTCTAGGAATAGTGTGGCGGGAGGGGAGAGTCTGAGATTTATGCCATGATGCTTCTAGAGTTTGCCAGAGGGATCCGACCTTCCGGCAGTCCATAAAACAATGATTCAGGGATTCAGGGGTAGAGAGGTTGCATACCTTGCACCAGGAGTCCTGTTCCGTTCTGTTTTAATGATTGCATCTGTTGGCCAACCATAGGCTTACTGGAACTGCTCTGGTGGGGAGTCCATGGTGGTAGCCCAGTCACCGTAATGCCATTTTCATCTGATTTTAACAAAGCTCGCCATTGTAAAGGAATGCAGTCTAAGATGTGGTTTAGGTTAGTTTGTAGATTGTGTATTCCTTTTAGTTTTTTTCGTAGGTCTCTTTCCGGTTTCCATGTTTTGTTTGAGTCATTCCAGATGTGTTTGATTTGCCATATTCCCTTTTCTAGCCAGTGCCCCCATTTAGGTTCTGACTTTGAGAGTGGGAGGCTTTCCCCTTTATCGTTCTTGATCAGTGGGTTTCCAAAGAGGGGTTGCCTGAGAACTTCGTCTTTTTTCTTTGGACCTGATCTGTTTTTGGGGAAGATGGTTCTCCATGTGTGTAGTATTTGCTCCCAGAGAGATTTAGTCTGGGGGGTGTCATTGCTGTTTTGTTGGAGCATTTGGTCAGATTGGATTTGTTTCCTTTTTGGAAATGGCCAGGATTTGTTGAAAATCCAGAAGAGACCTGTCATGTTGGTTGGAGAAGTAAATCGTGCCAATTCTCTGATATGATTCAGGGTTAGTGGTGACCAATGCAGATTGTCTTGGAGGGTTAATCTTATGATCCATTTGATTTGTAGTGCCTGAATTTGGCGGGATGGGTCTATAAGTCCTAAGCCTCCCTTGCTTTTTGGGCTGGTGACTATCTGCCATGATACCTTGTGAATAAAGTGTAGCTTGTCTGGATTATCTGTCCATAGGAATGCTGCTGCTTTTTTCCTCAGTTGGCTTTGAAATTCAGTAGCTGGGAACCAGATGGAGGTGGAATACCACAACATTGCTAAGATTGAGTTGTTGTGTGCTAGTACCCTGCCTAGTAAGGAGGTATGCGTGGTTTTCCAGGTGTGCAATCTGTTTATCATTGAAGACAAGAGTGTCGCTGCTGATATATGGTGGCATCGTTTGAAACTGAGGTTGATGCCCAGTAAATAGATTGGTGAGTCTGGATCTGTCCATTGTAGTCCTGTCGGGGATAGCTCTATGGGAGGGGGCCTGCGGTCCACCATCCTATTGTTTTTGTCCAGTTAACTTTCATTTCTAAGGCCAATTGGAATGCTTGCATTGCTCCTGTCAGGGTCTGGAAGGATGATTTGAAGCCCTGATAAGTACAGTGAGATCGTCAGCAAATAGGAGAGTAGTAGGGATGTGGAGGGGTTGATCTCGTTCGTCCCTGACGTTCTCTATCCTCTCGATGGATCTATCCTTTCTTAGGAAGGCAGCGATGGCCTCCATGACGAAAAGGAACATCGGTGCTGCTAGTGGGTCCCCTTGTCTTACTGACCTTGTCATAGGGTACGGATTTGAAAGGAAGTCGTTGACCTGAACGATCCCTTGTGCGTCATTGTAAAGTATTCTCACCCATTTTCGGAAGACTGAGCCTACTCCAATTTTTTCCATGCTGGCCTGTAGAAACTCCCAGTTGACTTGGTCATATGCTTTTTCGAAGTCAAACAAGAGGATAGCTGCTGCGATCCATTTTTTGTTAATTATCTATGTGGATTCACAGAGTGACATTACGTTGTCCAAAATGAGTCTCCCTGGAATGAACCATGTCTGATCCAGATGGAAGCAACCTCCTG